ACACACGGGAAGACCATTCTGAAGACAAACTCAGAATGATTCATTGAATCATTGTAACTGAACTCCGATGAGGTCATTACTCGTGTGTGTGTGTGTGTGCTTGTTTATCATCGATACGCCACATTCTCACGCTCATACGAGAGTGACAATAATTGGTTAGATTTTCTGCACGCATGTCGCACGCCGGATGAGTTTACCAGACCGCATCGCACGAGATTGCACCCACACATCCACAAGCATGCACTACACATGTCGGCATCACGGCACATGCGTAGCATCCTGTGCCACAATCCTTCACGGATAGGGAATTTCAAAGGCACCGGAGTACCGCCTCCTGTGATAACTGTGCATTTGTTGTTTGCTTGTTCTCTATTTTGGCAATAAAAATGGAACCAAGTGACGGCTGTGCTCAGGCTTCCAAGCGACCAGTTCGACGCATCAACGATCCCATCTCGGATGGAACTGGTTTAAAGCCAGGATGAGAAATGCTCTGAGATGAAAACGGGACGAGAGTATGATAAGCGTTATTTCTAATAAGATTAAAATGGAGCATGCTGGATGAGATAAACACTGTCTTCGACCTACTCTACCCTTCATTTCCAATACCCAAATACCCCCATGATCTACCCCTTTCATATGATTTAGATGCTTTATTGAGATCTCAAATGACTTCGTGCTTTTACGACAACGGATGATGTAAACAGGTCCCACTTTAACATCCGTGGAGGGGAAAAAATGGATGAAAATCAGGAAGCTATCAAACACCGTGGAATAGAACGCTCAGTTTCCTTAGGCTATCTCCGTAAATGACCAAGCCAGCCTTTCCCTTTCGGCCGCAACCTGAGTTGATGGTGCTCTGTGTAAAAGCGAATACATGGTGAATAGCACCGAGACAACGAACTAAAAACGGGACCCTGTTGTTTTGATAAAAACATTCTACAATAAGGAACATTTCTCTAAATGGTTGAATTGAAAGATCAGTCTGTTAAGTCATTATTGTAGCCTTGCTTAATAGACTTAGCACACCAAGCATTTCTTTCAGAACACTAATGTTATGAACAAATTCTTCTTCAGAAATCCACGTGTGAAAAAATAGGATCTTTGCATGGGGAAATCCATTGCTCTCGTTGCACTTTATTGACGTTACCATCTCTGTTGAGCAACCAAAATTTCATAGTTGTTGTCATCACTCAAACAGGCTCTTCGAAATAACGTTTTTAACGCACCTTCCTGACATTCACTTGAGCTCTTTTTCTGTCAAAAGGTGATTTCTTTCTTTCGTTGTTTTCTCCCGCATTCATTAACACTGCACCTGAGTAATAAAGTTCCTACCCGAGGAGTTTATGCCCTTTGTTACACTAACTTAAAGATCAAAGTATGAAGAAAAGACTCATCCTCGCTTATCTCCTAGATCCAGAAGCTCCTTTCGTAGTTCAAGAAGGATGGATTGAGGATTCAGTTATCAGTTTCTGTGGGATTCCATATTTGCCTATCTCTGAGGTAATCATCATATGACTGTTCAATTAGATTCTCTGTATACAAAGCAGAGACAGTTTGGTCCATCGTTAGTTCGTTGGTGTTTACCCATTACCCAATCAATTATCCCCGCATGGTTTCTAACCAATCTGTTTTTTAGCGCTTCTTGTTAACCCCACATTTCGTTTTGCTCTGAAACCCCGTTTTTTTCGTTACTTACTCATTGATTGCACTGATTTCTAGTTCTCGCCTCCAAGTTATCACGCCTCTCGCTTCCAAAGAAATTTATTGTTACATTTCAGACTGTAACGGAATTTTCAAGTATTTTCAGTTCCTTTCTATTAGAGAGAGGGCAATCATCATCAGAGAACAGGTTGCATTCAACTGTTTCACATTGTTTCTTCTACTGTGTAGAAACCATTATGTGAAATTCTTCAAATAACCAAATCGCTCAGCTATGATAAATCAATCCGAAGGTAAAAGTTCGAGTCACACTTCAAATAAAATCACACGCAAATTGCTTTATTTATCCTAGCAGATGAATTTGCAGCTTAGTGCACACAATTGGAAGGGTTTAGAGAGTAGATGAGAGAACATGCTTATTGATCAGAAACACCATACCCAAGCCAGGTTAACCACGAATTCTGTTTTTTTGTACAGAGGTGTGGCAAACCGTAGCAATTACCCAGCATTCTGTCGTTTTAACTGTCGAAATGCTTGATTTGGGAGAATATAAATTTTGCAGTCTCGTGGATCGCGTGTTCCCTACGCTTGTTTCCAGTTCTCGACTGTAAGCAATCCCGTTTTTCGCTTCCAATGAGGTTTATTCTCACACGACAAACTCTGCTAGAAGCACGTAAACAACCTAGTCTATATTATTATTATTATTATTATTATCTTTTTCCGCAGCTAGTCTTGATAAAAGCGTCCAGTTTGTGATAAATTCATAAATAAATTATACATACACAATATAATGCGTTCGAATTTACAAAACAAAACAAAACCTGAGACATTTCACCCGTTGATTCTCACCCACCGTATTGATATGAGTTCGTTGATGCTTAGCTCGATCGGAACTGTTGGAGAACGCTTTGTTGCATCCCTCTCGTGGACAGACAAACGGACGGTCCCCCGTATGCGAACGCATATGAATTTTCAAATTCTCCAGGCGTGAGAATGCTTTGTGACAACCGGGATACTGTACAAAGTTGATTGGGAGTGAATGTATGTGCGTGTGCAAGAAAGTAAGGAAACAAATGACAAATAGGTTTATACTTGTGTTGGTGAGTACGGAATATATCCGACGTTGTGTGTCTCTCAAAAGCTGTGGTAGAATCATCAGGAACTGCTGATGAACCTGAAAAGCTAACCAGAGAAATCAAGATTTATTAATTAGCAATCGCCTAAGCTTGACATATTGATCAAGGTCACCAATCTGACCAATTAATCTATTTGCCGTCATTTATATATTTCACTGATAATCTTTTCATGCTTCTAAACACCTATGTGACTGATGTTCAGTTGTTCGCCGAGCTTGGCAATTGTATTGCAAACGTTTCATCAGCAATCAGGGTGACACGCTCAATGCAGTAACTGGATTACTGCATTGAGGATGTCACCTCGATTGGTGATGAAACGTTTGCAATACAATTGCCAAGCTCGACGAACAACTGAACATCATATTATACCAACCGAGTTACAAAAACAACAATCAACACCGTCGTTTACAAAAGTGTCACCTATGTGACTTTCCCTGGTATGAAAGTATCTTATCTAGTGGAAATGGTTGTCCTGGACACACCAGTAAAAGAAGATGGTTGTAAAGTTGGTGAAGCTGAAAGCTTAAACCAATTGTCAGGGCACTAAACTAACAAACAAACTAAACGTCATTCACGTCTCCTCAATGAGATTTGGGCTAAGCGTTCATCGTTAGCATTTCTGTTTATCGTACTGGCGTACATATGGATTAGTTAAATGTGGCTCTGGTTAGAAATACGGACGATATAAACAGGTCAGTAATATGTATTAGCTAGCTACTTTCTGTTAATTCTGTCTTCTTACGTTGTCGCTTCTGGAAGTTATATTTTAGATTTAATAAAGAGTGGAAAGTATTGTTCCCTGGTTACATAATGGGTTCCGTGGTACGATATGAATAAGCTTCCGTAAATCTTTTTACGCAAGGTTCTTTTCATAGCTCTAATGATCTTCACGAGAATCGGGACCTGAGAGACGTTTCTCAGTCTCCTCTTATCTTTCAATTCACACGTTCGGGTTTTTTGTTATCAAAGCTCCCCCTTGCTGTCTATTGATTTATTCTCAGGTTCAGTGTAATGCAGTTTGCACAAATGATTCCGCAAATGGCTTGAATCCAGCTTTTACAATACCAGTGAATGTCTCAAAGCCCTCCTCGCCTGACACAAACTGAATCCAGAATAATCGTCACAACTTCTTGAACGATAGAAGATACTACAGCTTTTACTCAAATTTAATCCGTGGTCCAGTGGTGTTTTTACAATACAATATTGTACAAGAAATTGTATTCATCGTTCTCAAAAACCGGTGGTTGTTTCGATCTGCGTGGTATTTCATGTTCGATACTGCCTATTATATAAAGCAGAGCGAAGTCATGTCCACAGGTCCGGGTGCTTGTTTCATCATTTCTACACGGGACTGCAAGTGGTAAAGGCCTTTCTATCCATCTGGAAGAAAATAGAATGACTGATTCGGATCAGTGGAGATCAACATGTGATGTGGAGAGGAGGCATGAAGTATTGCATCAAGCGATTGGGTGCAGTAGGGGTCTCGTTCACTCCAGGCTGGGGTTTGAGAGACTGGGTACTAGATGGATGGAGACATGGAATGAGGTGATAATCCCCGACGGCAGTGGCGCCCGGTTTTTGTATCTTTTCAGGCCCGAATGCTTCATATGAGTGCATGGTGAAACTTTGTCCGCTTTGCCGATTCTACAGTTTCACTTTTTTTTCCAGCCCCTCAAAACACACCCACCACCCATCAATCTCACACATTCTCAATTTATTTATTTCGTGTGTAGCATTACTTTGTAATTCGTTAGTAACAGAAAACGTGATGCAACTGTGGCATCTTTTTCAAGCAACTGGCCAGCAAACGTCTTTCGTCAGTGTGTCGACCAGTGAGCGTTGGACTGGGTTCATTTATTTGTTTATGTGGCCAACTGCTCTAGCCCCGCTACTTCGCGCTCAATATTTCCTGTCCGCTGAATCACTCATGGGACTTAAAATTTACAAAAATGCCCAAAGGTGAGAGAAATCTTTATTATCCAGTTCAGTTTGGTTATGGCTGCGGATTTTATTGTGTCCGGCTGTCTTTACTATTCGCTTGCTGTTTGTTCAGTGCTATATCTATAGAGAGCCAAAAAGCGTTACTTCCCGAAACATTGGTGCAGTATTCGACTTTGATAATAGAACATCGTTATGGGATTGGTTACCCATGATCTGTATACCTGAGAAGAATTTGTATATATTGAATTCGCTGTATTCTCACACTGAAAAAATCCGAACTTACTCTTAACTTTCCTTGGTATATGCGTTTTTGATCAATATACGGAAGGCTACCGGGTCTCGCTGATTTCGCAATCGATGATGCCGTAAACGCAGCTTAGCCAGGGCATTAAGACGGCCGCGTGGAACTTTTCAGCTGACAAACTGTCTGATCTAGGCTGCGCTGACTAGGTTGATCCACTCGATTCCAATACTTAGGTAGTTCAGGCAGGTTTGAGAACAAGTGGCATCGAGGTAAGACAGTATCGAATATACTCCGCTCTGAAATGGTGCTTTCTCTCGGTGGTTTGCAGCTTGAACATTTTAGTATGTTCATCCACCTTGGGCTTTGTGTTTCAACTGGCAATGATACAGCGGACTAGACCACATTTAGGATGGTGAAATCTCGGTTGGCTTTTGAGAATCGCTCCTTTCGACTTTATCGCCTGGGACACGTGTATACATCAGTACAACTCGATGAATTACGACCGTTTTCAAGAAAGCCCATCGAAAGGAGACGTTTGATGCGAGTAAAATGATCGCTGAATGGTCACTGGGATAGCGCTCCATGGACTTAGACGTTTAGGCTGTGTTCCAAGCAGGCCAAACCAACGTTTAACAAGTCACATCCGGTTCACGGTTTCTGGTCTTGGCTTAAAGTGTAGGCGTGTTTGCATTTTATGGTACTCTGTCGTGAAATGAAAATCTGAGCCTGCACTAACATCATGTTTGTATCACCAGTTTCCTGAGTTACGTTTTGAAAGATCAAAAATATCGCCGCTTAACTGAAGCTTCAAGCTGCAAATCATTGACGTAATTGTTTTTTGAGCATCATTTATGTTGCATATTGATTGTAACCAGAATGAATACCCAAATCTATTAAAAAACAATGAAAAATTAATTATTTTTCGTCAACTGGGCTGCCTTTCATCTGTTTGCATACACAGTATCAACTTTAATTTCGATCGATTGGAAATTTGAGAGCGTGATCGGTCATCTTATAAGGGCAAAAATAAACTATTTTGGCTTTTTCCGGCTGGAGACCAATAGACTCGATTATCCTGAGTGGTCTCATCTTTGATCTACAGACTCGATCAGAACTCGTTGGATGCAGCTACTGCGGTATTGAAAAAATGAAATTGCATTTGCGAAGACCTGGACAATGAGCAGTGCTTGCCCAGAGAAGCGTCAGTGGATTAGTGGCTTGTATCTTGTATACACTAATCGATCTAACTCATGAGACACCCTGACGTTACTTAGAATTATCCCCCTACAAAGAGCCTGATTTAGGTAAGTAACTGAATTTCAGCTCAGACGCAACCTATCTGTACCAGTTTCCAAAACATTACGAGCAACTCACCGTACATTGGCTGGGTCGCTCCCCGTTGTGGATGCGCATATGCACTAGCAGTTTGTAGCGTGCATTGAACGGTTTCATCTGTCTTCGACACCCGACCCATTTACATCGATACTCTTTGGATACCGCATAGGGCGCTATGTGAGCCAGTTCAATATGAGTGACCAGAGCTTTCTGATTGGGTAGGGTCTGTCGCCCAAAACACCACACACGTGAGTGGAAAATGAAAGAAAATGGAAGAGAAATTAGATCAAACTTATCAAACAATTGTCTTGTAACGAGGTGTTGTTGGAGACCAGGATAGTATAGGACAAAAACGAACATTTCAGAGCGATTTTTTCCCATCAATACACCTCTAGTGTATCACATTTGCGATAAAGAGAAGTTTGTCTCAACAGTGGACATAGATTATAGCCTTCCAAAAACAAAGTGTGTTTGTCTGCTGTTAGCCGAACTTACAAATAGTTCTCAAATTAAAATATAACTCCATAAGTTTCTTTCCTTAACTCGATGAATACTATCCCGCTGGAACACGGTATTATGCAGGAGTTTCTAAAAAATCACTCACCTTTTGAACAACGACAAAAGTGCTATATTTCCAAGACAACCACTTCCAAATGTGGTTAAATTTGAAAGTAAACTTTGCATTCAATGCATCTCAGAGTAGAAGCCCCAAAGATCAGTCACTCAATCAGCTGATGGAAAGCGTTCCGCACACGAATGTGTGACGGACTGGTCGAGACCGATCGAACAAAACGCAATCGTTTTCACACCACACTTGTTTGCTACCCGGTAATAATCATGTATAAATTGCGGCCCCACCAGAGCAGTACCAGCAAATAACCACCCCAAAAAACCCTGAGGTATGAATGGTGTTACCTGCTGGCTAATATTTTTGTTTTTTTCCATCGACTAGGTGGACCGAAAACCTATAGAAGTCCAATGCGACACTGGCTGAAATAACTCACTGAGGTGTCTCAGTTTTGACTGTGATATTCGCACTGTGCTGCTGTCACAACCAGAGCTGTCGTGGTGACCTCACATATCCCGTACCGATGGAACCAGACGGATTGGTGGTCAGATTCCGGCAGACACTCATCAACACATTCACGTTCGACAGTAAGCACGCTAAGTTAAGTATAAAATATTCGGGGGATGATTCTAACTTTAATCCATGCAAGTTGGAAGGGACATGTTTTGAGAAATGTTCAACTGCTTCTCCAATTTGGCATACCTTCTGCAAACTAAAAGCTGATCTGTTCCCTTCTCAGCTCAATGAAAAACACACAATCTGCGTGCACAAGCTAAGTCTCACATGCTTCATCAGATATTGTTTGTCCATTTCGAACACCCGTAGACATACAATCGGTTTACAGCAAATTCATAGTGACAGGACGAGTGCTAAGAATTGTTCGCCTCGATTTAACTGGCAACAATTCGCAATCATCGGCCTGGTCTTCCCAACGCCTGACCGTATCTGACCGCAAATGAGGACAAGATCAATGGCCTTCGATCGGTGTTTTCGATTCAACCAGAGAATTAGCGGCAAATGAGCCTGACGTGAACTGTATGTTTGCCTTATTATAAATTGATCTCTTGCTCCTCGTTGATCCACTGAATCTATTCGACCTATTTTTAGGAACTCCAGTGACATCTGGTTTTCTTGCCCTCCTGCGATTGTGCAATTTTGTATAGAATACCACTATACTTTCAGCTTATCAATTAGTTCATTCCGAATCCGTTGGGAGGTGTATGAGGTTTGCCTCTTTCAGGTCTCTCTTATAAGTGAAGGTTTTAGTACTTACCCTCGTCTTCAGGTTGGTTCATCTCACCATCTCCCATAGATGCCAAATCATTGTCGGTAACTGACATCATTTATCAGAAGTGTGCGTTCAGTTCTTGTAGCTATTATATTTTCTAACAGTTGTACCAGAATGTCGATCTCCCGTGATAACCTTTGGCGGGCTCCGAAGTCCGCCCGGATAAGTGGTCGTGCCAACACCCAATTCATTCAGAAAAATAATAGATGCATAGAAGCTGAACTTTCTATTGATTTACCACAATTTGTGGGCGCTAAGCAAGTAGTAAAACAACGCGCATGGTCAAATAATAGAAATAACCAATTCTGCAAACCAAAAAAGCCAAACAAATGACGTTGAGTAAATGGGTACAATTTTTTCCACGTAAATAAAACTCCGATCACGTGAGACATAGCCAACAGAAAAAATTGGCTACCTCGTTCAGTTATGGTGAAAAATGCTCCTGTTTTGTTTTTGAAACGCTTACCAATGAACAGTTCACCCATCTACACAAAACTGGTTCAGGTTCATCCCGTCGATTTGAGAACGCATGGAGTAGATTGGAATTTCTGGAGCATTGATCTACACAAGTAGTAATCATGTTGGAGTTTTGCGTGTTCCGAGGCTCGTCGGATGGCTCAGTACAAGACAGAATAGAGTCCAGGAATGTGGGCGAGGGTGGGGAGCAGGGTAGTTCCACGCACAGTGTTCGGTTTTCCATGGGGCCATTGACCAGAGTGGGTTCAATTACAGTCTGTACCACTTCATTCAATGCTTTAACGGGAGTGATCTGCTTTGGGGACTGAAGGAAATTGGTTGGACAAGGCATGACTGGGACAGAGCAAGTGGAACGGACCAATTGTTCTTCCGTACTGACTATATGTGGGTTATGAACCGTGGGGGGATAAGAAGGTAATGCGTAATGTTCTTCCTGAGATGCTGGAAAATTCCAATTTGCCTGAAAAGTAAAATAAAGTATTGAAGTTGCTTCGAATGGTTTTTCGTTAGACCTCAAACACAAAGTCTTAGACCCAATACGGTTGTAGCCTGAGTTCATTCAATTCATTCAGCCGCACTACCACCGTAATGAAGTGTTATCAGTTTCCGGCAGTATGACGCAATCTATCACTTGTCGATCATCCTGTCATCAGAGAATCACTTGTCATTGTAAGATGCTTTTGGTAATACCCTAATTGTAGGTATAATTACGATTGAGTTGTGAGAACATCAGTGACCTCTGTGTAGTTCGAACCAACACATGGATGCTAACTGTACCACAAAAAATTAGCTAGGTACAAATACAGTCCCCGATCTTAAAAAAGACGCTTATCCTTCATTATCTACCAAAACCATGACTCAATGAGGTAATTAGTTCTTTAGGTTCTACTCGGTTCAATACTACCTACTCATGAAATACTGGCAAACAGCTTTGGGTGCTGCAATACTTTGAGAGGAAAGTGGGCTAAGGTTTAAAAGCCTACGGTTCTCACACCAATTAGGCCTTACGATTAGATAAAAAAGATAATTATGAACAGCTCAAAAGGTATTTCTTCGTGGCTTTATTTATTTTAGAAATTACAGGCAACCGTTGAGTGCCCGAATCATGAAGCGAGAGAGATAGAAATAGAGGGAGACCAGAGGATAATGGAAAACAAAATACCAACCACGAGGTATCGATCGATTAATTTTTTTTCCTGATAATTTAAAAATGGCTTTGTTGGAAAATCTGAAACACGTACTTATTTTGAAGATCTTTATAAAGCAGTATGGAGAATAACTAAGATCTTGAGACTACTTAATATACACATCAGTAGTTAAGTTGTATAATTTTGCTGCAAGCAACTGCTTTGCAAAGATGTCATGTTTCTCGTGTAATGTGACATTTCAAATGCTGTTAGACCGTTTACATATTAGGTTTATTTGTAGCGTTTTAAATAATTCATGCGGGTTTGGTATGATGAAAAAGATGCACGATAATATATAATTGAATACATAATGGTCGGTCTATAAATCAATGTCAAACAAACTATATGACCTTTACCTGTTTTTGAATCAACACATGGAAAGATAGAACAATAACTGACTACGAGTACTATGATAAGACTGCATGCTTATTTGCATAACTGCATAACACAATAACGTGAAAGTTGATAATAATTTGTTAATGTTTCCATAATTGCATCAGAAAGTTAATCCGCATTTTTGTCATCTGGGGACGTCTCAGAATTTCACGGCAGCTGCTTCAGTATGTAAGAGGTCAACTATCTAACAAGTATGTCCCCACTCTGTCCATTGTATACTCAAATCTATCCGAATGGAGACGATTCTGGTACTAGGCACCGTCAGAAAGAAACTCCGATCTCGTGAATCACAGAATGATTGCAATTTTCCTTTATTGAAACACGGCGGCAATATATTTGCCCCCTCCTGTAAAAATTATAGAAGTTTGATGAATGATTCGATCAACCCGACATAAAAGTGCCATCAAAAGTTTTTCTGTTTGTCTCACCGATTAAAAATCATTCTTTTAAATTTAAATAATGTCACTTAGTTTGTTTCCGTTTGTTAGGAAAAGCTTCTGCCGTTGTGCAGCAAAATTAGATGGAAACCTTCGATCCAATATATCGAATCCTGAAGGTAGTACATAGGTCCTAAAAAGGCACTTTAACTTTTGCAGTATCGTTTCTCTCAATATGAGCTTATCTTGCTGTCGATTTAAAATGTATCCATTTTTTGTCATTTGACGTGATATTTTGAATGTACCATTTAAGAAGCACTGTCAAAATATATAGTATCAAACTCGGATTAGCCCATTCGATTGTTCAGAGGCACTAGGCACTCTTGATGGTCTTTACTGTGGGTTTCACTCCTTGGGAGATCGTTAATTTTTCACGAGATAATACATTCAAATGCGATGGAAATGCTCGTGATAATGGACAAAGAGCACTAGATGAGTCAAAAACAGGACGAAACAGCTGTCTAGTGCTCTTTTCGGTTATCACAAACATTTCCGTCGTATTTGAATGCTGTCAAAAGTTTCAAAATGTTTAGTCAGAAGCTCCACAGAATGAGCCGATGCAGAATGACCATTGTCGGTCGATCGGGATAACTAACCGACCTGTATCATGGGGCTTCCCGAATGAGACGATCGTGACGACCAAGATGTAGTCCAACTGGTCACAAGTGTCTCGCCATTTGCGACCGCGTCCCCGCTTTGAATAGCCATCGATCCATACGACGAGGGCGGATTCAAGGTCAGTGGATCAGAGATGTTAACTAGGTCGTTTCTACTTTCATAAAAATTGATCCATCCATTTGAACAGCTGAGGGTCTTCTCTGCACCAGGGGGAATGGAATTCTTTGACATGAAATATAAATTGTTGATTGCTATATCTGCATTGGGGTGTGGAGGCGAAACAAATTGCAAAGTAAAACACTTGAAGAATATTTTCCAGTTATCAGAATAAAACCAAACATATACTTTACAACTTCAGAAACTACACAGGGCAGGTAACCACAAGTCCTCAGGGTGATGAGAAAACCTTA